TAAAATTCCTTATCCGTTTAGGCAAATGCTAATTGTCATTCTTAGCCGGTACTTCAAGATTTAACTGAATAAAAAGAAAATAATATAGAAATTATAATGATAATTTGCTTTGGATTGTATAGATTCTAACACAATATTTAATTCAGATTCATCCCGAAGTATATTTACACATACCTTTTTGATCTCTTATATTGATTATACCATCGATCTTGAACTCACTTTGGTGTTCAATAATCAGTATATTGTGCCAACTTTTCCACTAGCTCATTGACAACTTCTCTGGGTAATATAGGTATGCTTCAAGCTGTTTCAGGTATTGTTCTTTAACCGCTGTGGATTTGTATTTTGTTGGACATGATGTTTGAAGTGTGGATCTGGAAGACAGACCGATTTCAGATAATGGTATTGATTGCAAGTCTTCTTTATTGATTTTTTCAACTTCTATATTAATTAATTCTGGATTGATTTCTTCAACTTTTATATTAATTAGTTCTGGGGCTTGCACAGAACTGCTACCTCCTGCTTCTACCCTTATTTCTGATATGCGATCAGTCTTCTTCTTCTTTTTTAGCTTCATAGGTGTCAGATCCCATCTACCTCATCCTGCTTTCACTTAGATAACAGTAAGATGAATATCTTGCTCAACAATGATGATCATTCTTTCGATTCCTGATTCATAGCAAGTAAATATTTGTTGGAAACCAATATCTATCAATTCCGTAGCTTCTGCAAATAAGAGGTGTGATTCTGGTTGTGAGCTGCTAAATTTTACTTTGAGCTCAGTAATTAATTTTCAAAGAGCTTCTTAATGATCCTTAACAGACTGTGAACTTCTGCTCACTGACTGATTTCCAGCAAATTCTGAAATCAACAAGTTAAGTTGGTCATACTCTACTTGTGTCACTTTGATATTCTGCTTTAGATTCTCCAAATTAGTCATCTGTTCAGTTATATTTTCCTTTATGAACTTCACTCTGAATGTTTTCAAAGTCTTATCAAAAGCAAAATAATACTCCTCACATGTCAAATTAATTGAAGGCATCACCCGAAGAGCTTGAAGAAATCCTGGCTTGCTTTGAAGATTTAACAAAAATCGTGTTACAAATGCAGCATATCTTCTTTTTCCTATTATAGGAAATAAAGGAGTGAATGTCATCAAGCTATGTATTTGCAGATCAAAATTTGTCATGCAAATATCAAGCTTGTGCAATTTCAAGTATCCTGCCCATTGGTAAAAGTTATACTATACTTTAAGCAGATTGTTATTTGTTGTGAGGATATTACTAATAGAAATATTCTCTTCCTGAATATATAGATGGATCGCAACTTCAATCACTACCCAAATGAGCTCAAGTACTCAAAAAGTTGCTTGATAATTAGCAACTTGTTCAAGTCTGTTGAGAAATCAAACACCAAGCTGTGCGACAAGTCCAAAAAGTCTATAACCAGAAAAGATAGCAATTAGTGCATTGCACATTGACTTGTTAGTATACCATTATCCTAGAATGCAACACACCATTTGCTCTTCATTCTTGTAATCTTTCATGCGATGATAAATTGCTTCATCACACATCAAATCTAATATGCTATTCTTTATATAATCAAATTCTTTGAGAAACATGTTGATGACCTGATAAATGTATTCATTTTTGCTTGGAGCTTTTCCAGGTTCAAGAATCACAATATTTGGAAACGCTACAAATAATGCTGAGTCAATATGTTTTTTAATAATTGCATCAAAATGTTCAACACCAAATTTCTGCCCTTTATTAATTAATTGACCAAAGGTGGTATTAATTTTTTCTTGTCATTTTTTATAATAAAACTTCTGCCAAATAGATTTGGATTTTTTAATGATTCTCTATTTATATTGGCAAGTGCTGAACATTGAAACTGAAAGACCATTCGCAATGTTGCATGTGCAGTATCACGAGTTGCATCAAAAATGGTGTCATATTGAAAAGTATTATCTTTCATATCGATATTGTTGATAACTGCAAGATTTCAAACATTCAGATATAGGTTGAGCCTTGACTGAGGTTCTGCAGCAAACATTCTTTTTTTTGAACACACACTTCATGATCCCTAACATATGATACAACCTGAACTGCATGAAAAATTTTGTGCAAGGATTCTATTATTTTTGGTTGTCGACAAAGAGAAGAAAGAACATGTATAAACCATATTTCCAATGGCAAAAGACAATGATAAGTAAAATAGAAGTGAAAAAGAGAGATAAGACTTTGATTTTTTTCATCTAATTGTAGTGGAGATAAGTTTCTCTCCTTTCATTTTCTATTTAATATTTGATTTCTCTTTTCTTCTAGAACTGAAACCAAACCAACAAAAAGATTATAAGAGGTGACAGAATAGTATTGTAGTATTCATCTAGGGATTCTGATTCTTTGAGTGATGATAATTTTTGCTTAAATTCTGATCATGCTTGTAATATAGAATAAGTAAGTATTCTTCCAAAGTTCTTGCATGTAATGATTTTTAATTGTATTGTTTGTGCTTTTTTATTAATATCAATTTTTTTGATAGCAAATGCTGTTTTGATTAAAAAAAGACTTGAAATTGTGAAAATAGTAGAAGACGCACCAACGGTATTCTGTATCTCAGATATATTCATGATAAGATTACCAAGAATATTGACAAGCTCTTTTAGTAAACTAACTTTTATAATTTCATTATCTGATATAGTGATCTGTTCAATTTATTTACCAAACAACTTCAAAGCAAAGGTAGTATCAGTATAATATTGTCCTTGTTCTAAGTATAAAACTGACTGTTTTCCTTTTTCTGGCTGAATATGTAGATGGTCTCCATATATTACAAAGCAGTTTGTACAAATAAAATGAGGGTGGTCATCAGTGAATGACTTAGTTGATAATCTATCATATGAAGTTATTGCTAAACAGTTGAATAATCCACAGCACAGAGCTTGAATTATGTATTCATACACTTTTCATGCATATATTGAACATGTTTTATCTCTTGTAAAAAAGCATCAAAGTTTCTTGCAAAATAAACAGCAGCATGATGTAATAATGCTTTCTTCAGTTATTTGTATCATCTTTATGCATCTTCCTGACTCAGGTTTGTGTACAGTATTTTGATCATAGTTGAGATAACATAAACAAATATCCAACTTTGAAATCTTATTTTCAACTTCTTACACAGCTTTAGAGTCAACCTTTTACGTATCAGAAAGTTATTTCATATCACGAACTCCTGCATTTTTGCATTTTGAATTATGTGTTGATCATTGTCATTGTCAATAATAATATAATATATTAGTTTAATAGTATAATCCACAAGAGAAGAAATGATTCTTTCAAATTCCTTCACAAATATTTCCATTTCATTATCACTTTCGATGAATTCATCATCTGTTTCCTCAGTATATCTGGTGATTATTTCTCATGCTCTTTTAAATGAATACCAGTTAAATGTGAGAACTCCTTTATTATATATCATTGTTTGTTCAATATTAATGCTAGATTCTTGGTTAAAGTTATTATAAATCTTTTCTTCATGATCAAGTGAAGTTTCAGATAAGAATTTCATAATTTTTTGATTTTTGATTTATTTTTGATTTATTTAATATAATAATTTGAATAGTACTTTGACTTATAGTGTATTGTTATAATAGTAACATAAAAATTGCAAATTCAAAATAATTGAAAAAGATGAAAATTCCAAAAATATTCATATAATGATAAAATCCTCTAATATTATTTCACTTTTCATTATTTCACTTTTTATTATTTCACTTTTATTTTTCACTTTTTATTTTTCACTTTTCAAAA